ATTTGTATGGATGATGGTATTAACTTTTCTGTTAATAAACGATTTCTAAGTCAGATATCTACAAATTATTGTTTATTATTGCATTCCTTTTTTTTACTCACATACTTTTAAGATATCTTACAGATAAAAGGAAAATGGGCATGGAATAAATATCCATTATAAAATGGCTGTATTTAGGGATAACTCGATACATGTATTACATTCCAGCAGTACACGCCATCACCATTTTATGATGTATTCTAATCTTACAGTACATAACAATACACGTAACATGATTTCATACAGCTAACACCATACATACTGCACTCTCGCCACAATTTCCAGCACTTCCGTTTTTTCCACTTTACGACGAAACGTGAGTGGAGCAAATCTGATTAAGAACCATCAATCGCAGGTACCGCAGTTAGAGAACAAAATATCTTCCACGAAGATATAAAGGAACATTTTTAATAAATCGTCACAGTAGATTAATAAGAAATATTAAAAGATGCATAATAAAGTTTTATCATTAACAACTAACAGTGTTCTCGTCTTTCCATTCTGTATCAATCGCTTTCAAACGAAAAAGTAAAAAGATATACAGCGAAAAAAAAGAAGTTTGTTTCATATATTGTGTTTTATATATTATAATGTTTCTTTTTTTGTTATACGTATCGATTTAGCCAATTTTATTATTATTATTATTTTTTTTTTTAAATATTTCGATCAATCAATTTTTTTTTAAAGCGAGAAGGAAATTAATCATCGAATTTGACTCGAAAGAGAACAAAGAAAGCTAACGTTCTCCTATAAAAATATTGTTTTAGTAGTAATAAATAATGATTCATAAATATTTCAATTAATCGTACGGATAGATATATCTATTAAACTTAAACGTAAATAATATTTACAGTAATAAAATTGCAATGAACACCGCGAGAAACACATCGATTATATTTTATGTGCAGATAAGCGCCCGCGAAAAAATTTAGAATTCGTTAAATTGCTATTACACCTGTAATTAGAATATATTACGTTACTTATAGAGGAATAAGATAAGATAGTGAAATAATTAAAGTAAACGCAATACATGTATAATGGATAAATGTACGTATTGCATCTACAATACAATCTCGCTTGCTTGACGCTTTAAAGCACGTTTCGTCATAACACAATAGTAAGTATTTAGATATATAGATCTAGAAAAATAACGTTATAAACATTCCTTATCGGGAATTGGGAATTATACGTTACAAACGTTATTATTATAACATTTTCTCAAGTAAAAATATAAATATTCTCATTCACAATGCGATATCTCTGCTTGACTTAGTTTTTACGCTATTTTTTTTTTTTTTTCTTTTTTTTTCCCTTTAATACACCTCGAAGATAATTTTTCTCTCTTACAACTCTTGTTACATTCTTTGTTATCCTCGCCTCCACACCGTACCATTATATCCTCTACTTTACTAGCCATTTGCACCCCACGAAGAACCAAGAAAGGGTCTCCCTTCAATTTGCTTTATAATTGGATATACACACATGTATATTTTCGTTTAACTATAACTTGTACTCGCGATCATTTAATAAAGTAATGAAAGACGTTTCCTTATTACAATAATATTATTCTTGACCATCATTTTGTATTTGGATTGCATTTTTCAACGATATAATGTATTTGCCTAGCTGCAATGATAACTATATTAAAAATCGCTTTTACGTCAAGCGAACTGAAAAGAAAATGCATGCGCGCAACAATAGCGTAAATGTACGAGGGAAGAATTACAATGCGTATATATATATATATATCCGGACATCTAAAGAAATTGTTTCGAATTTTGATTCTTTTCTCTCTTTTTTTTTTTTTTTTTTTGCATCTTCGAATTACTAAATAAAATAGCGA